TATTGGCATATCAATATCTGAATAGTCTATTGATTTCATATGTGAAGCTAGGGAAGATTAATAAGTTTATTAAAGTTATGCTGTGTGTTTCATTGATATGTTTAAACATAATACACAAAGAGAAATAAACTTTATATTAATTTTCAACGATGTTTAAATACGGCTCACAGTTCGAATAATAATTAGCACTTGAAAAACAACCAATCAGAGCCCGACTTTCGCTGGTGTTTCCCAGAGCCTCAGCAAGCCTCCTCAGAGGATTGCAGGCTCTGGTTTCGAGATTGTAACAACCATACAAACAAGCCAAATTGTTCACTTCGTTGCACCCACTTAGTGTGCCAAGTTTCATTGAATTTTATTAAATACTTTTATTTACATAACACACAGCTATAAAGCTTTTATTAAATACTTTTATTTACATAACACACAGCTACTTTTATTTACATAACACACAGCTATAAAAGCTGCAAAACGAACTTTCTATTCAAAAGTGGTATCATCAAAACGCTCGAAGGTTGTTTGGATGATAATACATCGAATATTAAACCCAAATAGGAAGAAAATCCGTCATGACCCGGATGAGTTGAACAAGTTTTTTCTGACTACCTCAGAACGCATTTTGGGTTCGTACCCAAAACAAAGAGTCGATGTTGTCGAATATCTTGACTCCCTATCAGAATCTAGTGGGGATACGTGCTTTAGAATGCGAAAGGTAAATTTTGGCGAAGTAAGCAATCAGCTTAATGTTATACGGAATGATTGTTCTACAGGTCATGACCATCTACCTGTGAACTATTTGAAAATGGCTTCCCAATATATTATCTCTCCGTTGACCCATATAATTAACGAATGCATCGCACACAATATGTTTCCTTTCTCGTGGAAAATAGGACGTATTAGTCCTATCCCGAAAATCAGTGAACCGATAGAGAATAGTGATTTTAGACCAGTGTCAGTGCTGCCAATTTTATCAAAGGTATTTGAACGCCTGGTGCATGCTATCCCAACTTGTTGAGTATATTGAAGATCACAGTTTGTATAAAGAGACAATGTCCGGTTTCCGTAAGGGTCACTCAACCATGGCCGTTCTGTTGAAACTTAAGGATGATATCTTGAGAGCAATGAA